ATCTCCCACTTAGCCTTTAAAGGCCATATAATCACTCCCTCTTTATTTCTCTAAAGCCATCCCACGTACATGTTTGACAAAAACATTTGCTACCAATCCTTTTGTTTAAGGATCCGCTAACATTACCTCTATTGGGAGATAAGCAATCTGAATCTCTCCAGCACTGATCTCGTTACGAATGTGGGAGCAGCATGGCTTTATAGTATTCTATTTTTTGTGAAACCTAGGCTTATTTGACACGTAAATAGTTGCCTGGTTGGCACAAGAGATTCTGATACACGGGCACTTCACTAGATCAAATCTGAGTTGATTTAGGAACGTCTTCAACTAGATTGCTTCTTTGGTCGCAAAACAACATGCCACATACTCTAATTCCATAGTCGAGAGTTAACAATATCCTGTTTCTTTATCAACAAGAAACAATTCCATCTACAAGCATGAAGATATGTCCGAATGTGGACTTACTCTCTTCTGGATCCCCTTGATAGTCCGCATCTGAAAATTTGTATATCCGAGCCTCCACCATAAGTGAGTACGTAATAAACGGTTACCTTCAAATTTTGTGGTACTCTTTTGATGGCCTTCTGGTGCTCCATGCATGGATTACTCTGGAACTTGCTAATCAAACTCATGGTAAAAGATAAACCCAGTCTTATTCCTGACATAGCATACATTAGTGACCCAATTGCACTTTGGTATGGAGTTCTTTGCATCGTTTCCTTTTCTTTTGAAGTAGTGGGATACATGGCTAGGCTAAGCTTGGTCTTCTTATCAATGGGGGTTAATGTTGGTCGGCAGATTTCATTTCAAATCTTTCAAGAATTTTCTTACAATATGTCTTGAGATAATTGTATAGTTCCCTCTTTTCTATTTTGGGTAATTTTTATTCCCAAAATATATTATGCTTCTCCTAGATGTTGTGACAAGAGAACTTTTGTCTCCAATACAAGACTCATCGAACTACTGGCAATTAACATGTCATCTACATATAGAGAGATGAAAAGCCACGTCACTCCCACGGACCTTAACATATATGCGATGGTCCTTTTGGTTTCTATCTTGATTTTATACTCTTTGAACCGATCTAGGGCGAAAACGGGAGTGATCATCTATGAAAGTGATAAAGTACCTCCTGCGACCCTTAGTGGGCACATTTAGAGGTCCACAAATATCATTATGGACAGCACGGGAGTGATCATCTATGAAGTGATAAAGTACCTCATGTGACCCTTAGTGAGCACATTTAGAGGTCCACAAATATTACTATGGACAACCTCTAATACTCTGGTAGCTCTCCGAGCTTTCGAAAAAGATTTCTTAACCAGCTTTCCTTGAACACATGATTCATAGACTCTGGTTAAGTCTCCATTTAGATTACTTAATAATCTGTCTCTCTTTAGTCTCTCCATCCTTTTAGGATTTATGTGCCCTAGTCTCATGTTCCATATGTATTCGCAACGTTATCATTATAACAAAAGACATAAGAAATGGAATTTTTTATTGCAACTGAAAAGAAACTTTCTACAAGATGACCATTCATGACTAATTCATCTCTATATTTCTCCTCCACCTTATTATCAGTAAAAATGGTAGAGTTGCCTTAGCCAATTTAGCAGTCAAGACCAAACCCTTCCTCATCTCAGGAGCATAAAGAGTTTGTTTTAGGACCATGCTTTTGCCATTCTCAAGTTGAAAGATGAAATCTCCATTACCCAGGATGAAAAAGGTGTGGCTATGTAGAACTCGAGGTATTAAATTCAAATTTTTTTTTTTTATTTCCAAATACCCGAATTCCACTTACATGGACCACAATATATTGTTGAAAAATTAAAATAATGCGCTAGTTAAAACTTGAGATCTTTATTTTCATTGCCAAGAAAAATAAAAACTATCCAGGATCTTTAAGCTAACTTCCACTACAATTTTTAGCACAAAATAAGTTCTTGGAAATTTACTGAAATTAAAAAATTACACTGAAAATAAAGAAAAACTATTGGGAAGACTTATTGGAAGATGCCTAGAGTTACCCTACCAGGACTTGGTACACCTCACACCGGATTCCCTGACCAATGGTGCACTTTTGCTTCTTAAAGTGTTGCTGGAAATTCTATGATATGGAAGCTTTGTAGACAATATTTCTTTTTCTAGGGTTTTAGAGAGCTCAAAGATCAACCAGGGTCTCTACAAACCTGATAAGAATAAATTAAGGCTGAATCTGTGACTTGATCTCTCTCTAGGCTAGGTTCTCTCTTCTTTCTTCAAAATACAGCAAAGCCTTGCTCTAGGCTTTCTCTATAGAGCCACCTATATTTTCTCTAATACCAAATATAGAGGAGAGAGAGGGTGGCGTGCCGCTCTATCAAAATTATGGAGCAGAGAGAGTGCGGCATGCTTCCCCATGGTTAAAGAGAGGGGCACATGACTCCAAAAATTCTTAGAGAGGAATAAAAAATAGGGCATGATGGAGAGAGAGAAACGTGGCATGAGAGCGAGAGAGGGAATCTTGTCTTCGGAGAGTAAGATCTGGTGATGGGTTTGAAAGAGGTTCAAACTAGATCTTTTTATAGCAATAAAATCTATCTCCTAATTTGAATAGGATTCCTTTTAAGTATTGTTTTATCTAGTTTTTAGCTAGACCTTTAGGATAAATAGAAAATCTATGGGGTGAGAGATTAATTAGAGCCGTCCATCTAAAAAATCAGCCATCATGATTTTAGGTAGAAAAAATAGGAATCTTATGCCTTTAGAATTTAACCCTAGTCCAGCTCCTATTTAAAATTGAAATCAATTTTTAACTTTATCTAGATCTCCTCTTTAAATTTGAAAACAGTAAAATTTAAAGATTATCTAGATCTTTAGATTTCCATAAGATAGGAAACTAAATCTTATTAGATTTCCCATTTTATCTTTTAACTAGTTTTAAAATTTGAACCAAATCGAAATATTTAAGAGAGTGGGGCATGCCCAGTTTCTCCTAATAATGGAGTGCCCACTTCTCCTGGAAATGGTGGCGTTCTAAAAAAAAAAAGCAATTAAAAAAATGGGGTGTGCCCCCTTGTTCCACATAAAGTGGCGTGCCCCCGCCCCCCCTTGTTTTCCCTAAAAGGTGGTATGGCCAAAATTGTTTAAACAAAATGGGGCTGGCCCCCTAGGGGGGCCATGAGGTCCGCACACTTAAAACAAAATTCACATGTGGAGCTAGATCCTTGGTCCCACATGCAATACTTTAAGTTCTGAAATTTTCATGAATACCCTTTTGATGAAAAATACACAAAATTATGAAAAATATTAAAAAATGATAAAAACATTTCTACTACCGAAAATAAAATATATTAGGAGCCAATGGGTAAAAAAAAAATAGTGACACAGAGGGCACTCCACTCGCTTCAGAAACCAAGATTCACTACTGTTCTCTTATTCATCCCAACAAAGTCCCATGACCCACAGTCTCTTTGCAGGGGCTTACGATTGGCTTGTCAAAGTTGGATAATAAACAATGGAACCATGATTCTGGAATGTGAATTTAAGTTCACCCCTTTAAGAGCAAGTCTAGCATTGTCACTACAGTGTAAAAAGGGCTCTCTATATGCACGTGTACGTGTGTCACTCTTTAAGGCAGCTTCCCATGCGACTGTCTTGTGTATAAGTGAGAAGTTTGTTGAGGTTTTGGCCCTTGCTTGCATAGGCCTACAACCGCATACAAGAGATTGCACATTTCTCCTGGCTTACAAACATGATCCTTGGGCATCTCTCCGACTTCAATAAGGACTGACGCACTATAAACCCTTCTCGGTGGTGCCATATCCCTAGGTTTAGGGTTTTGGACATGATCAGGGTCATAAACCGCCTAAACCTTGGACAGTCAACACACGCACTCCCATTGAAGTGAATATTCTACTATACATATCCTTTTTTACAAGCTCTCTAGACTTTTAAAAGTGACAAAACCCAACATCTCCTACTTGGCCTTTGAGGCCATACAATCACTCCCTCTCAATTTCTCTCAAGCCCACCCATGTGCATGTTTGGCAAAAACATTTGCTGCCCATCCTTTTGTTAAAGGATCTGTTAACATGGCCTCTGTCGGGTGATATGCAATCGGAGTCTCTTTTGCTCGGATTTTGTTGCGAATGTGGTAGTAGCACGGCTTTATATGCCTCAATTTCTTGTGAAACCTCGGCTCTTTTGACACGCAAATGGCTGCCTGGTTATTGTCGAAGATTCTTAAAAGCTGAGCTTGTCACTGGATCAAATTTGAGTTGATTCAGGAACTTCTTCAAAACAACATGCCGCAAAACAACATGCCGCATACTCTAACTACATTGTTGAGAGTGCAACAATATCCTGTTTCTTTGAGCACCAAGAAACAGCTCCACCTGCAAGCGTGAAGATATATCCGGATGTGGACTTACTCTCATCTAGGTCGCCATGATCGTCCGTTTCTGAATATCCTTGTATCTGTAAATCCGAGCCTTCGCCATAAGTGAGTGTGTAATTAACAGTATCCTTCAAATACCGTAGTACTCTTTTGATGGCCTTCTAGTGCTCCATGCCTGGATTACTTTGGAACCTGCTAATCAAACCCATGGCAAAAGATAAATCTGGTCTTGTGCTTAACATAGCATAAATTAGTGACCCAATCGCACTTCGATATGGAATTCTTTTTATGGTTTCCTTTTCTTCTGAAGTAGTGGGATGCATGGCTAGGGTAAGCTTGGTCTTCTTATCAATGGGGGTTAATATGGATCGGCAAGTTTCCATTTCAAAACTTTCAAGAATTTTCTTGCAATATGTCTCTTGAGATAATTGTATAGTTTTCTCTTTTCTGTTCTGGGTAATTTTGATTCCCAAAAACATATGACGCTTCTACTAGATCCTCCATATCAAAATGATGTGACAAGAAAGCTTTTGTCTCCAATATGAGGCTCATCAAACTACTGGCAATTAAAGTTGTGGTTATGTGGATTTCAAGGTATTAAATTTAGGCTGGCCATGTGCAGTGTCGGAGGGGCGATTTGGTTCTAGTTGAGGGCTCTAAAAGTGCAAGCGGAAGGTTCAAAAGGACATGGATGGAAGTAGTGAGAAGAGGTATGGTGACTTATGGTTTGACTGAGGATATGGCCTTTGATAGAGCGGAATAACATATCAGGATTCGAGTAGCCGATCCCAAATAGTTGGGAATAAAGCTCGGATGATGATGATGATGATGATACATTATTTTAATGAAAGTGTGGAATGCTACCATTGCTTCCTATTCTATCAACGCAAGATGGTTTTCATTCACTTTTTTGATAGTTGTGTTTCAGTGTAAGTGAAGTGCTATTTTCAAATACTTGTTATTTTGATTTGTCATCTTAATGGACATTTTACTTTTGTTACCGAATCAATGCCTTCTTTGTTGGTATGGAAGCTGTATAGAGAAGAAGACAGTTTTTGAAATTATTAACAGAAATTTCTGGATTGTTTTTCTTATCATCATGTCATAAGCTTTTCTGTTTGAAATTACGTGTCTGTGGCATTCATTTGCTGTTGACACGTTGTGCTTGTGATGTGTCGAAGAAATTATATTTTACATAAACATGTAACATACTTGGGTGTAAGTTTTGTCCAAGTTGACTTCACAATGGATTGATATCGGTATTATGTTAATAGGTTATGCGAGAGGATTATGGAATGTTCACTTGGCCTAGTAGTGTTGTCTTGGCTGAATATGTGTGGCAGCAAAGAGCGCATTTCTCAGGGAGGACTGTGATTGAGGTGACAACTCTTCTTAAGTTTTTATGTTTCAGTCTGAACTGAAGTATAATTTTTTAATATTGTGGCTTCTTCTATATTGTTTTGCGCTTTAGCAATGATTGAGGTCAAAGGTTTTCATGCCTTGAAATGGTTTATAGCTTTCTTTGGAAAATGTATTATTACATTATTTAAGTCTTAATATGTAAGATTGGAAAACAATTAAGAGAAATACCCCTTAGGGGGGTGAGCTTGGCTTCCTCTCACTTGTACACTTCTTACCCAGTAATACAATGTTAACCTTTCTCAAAAGAAACAATTAAGAGAAATGATGATTAAAAAAGAACTGGGAATTAAAATTTATAATGTCCATATGGGTTGTGTTGAAAATGCATTGGGAAGTTAGTGGCACGAATGGGATATTTTATGTAATAAGAATGTGCATGTGTTATTTATTTCAAGAAGGGAATGTCCTATAATATTTACATATCAAAATATTTGTGTGAATGGTTCAAGGGTTTCAAGAAACACTTTGATCCTTCATTCTCCATGCCCATCTCTCTTCTCTTTCTACATCTCTTTCTTCTCTTCATATTTTACTCACATATCAACCTAGATTTTGGTTATAATTTCAACTTGATATTCAAGTAAGGTTCAGATCAGAAGAAGTGAGAGTAGAATGTTGAAATTTTGGCCATTTAACTTTTCGTTTCAGCACTACGACTAGATAGTTGGACAATGCACGGCAAGAAAAAACTCCTAACAGGTTTCGTTTTTTATCATGGTGCGATTATTCATAGATACAGTTTCTTGAAGTGGTGTCATTTTCTAGGTTTTGTTCCTAATCTGATCTGGTTTTTGGGAAAGGTGCCAACTTTTTTAGGGTTCATTCCCAATATTTAGGGTTTTTTGTGATCCATTGATGGATGATTTGATGATCAAACAGGTTACACAAAGTTGTTCCTTTTATGAGAAAATTGAAATAGTTCTATGGATTTTTTATATTTTATTTTGGGTCTTATCATAACTATATTTAATGTGTATTAAAGGGTGAATTTGGAGCAACTCTATTGCTGAATTTCCACAGCTTTTTAATGTATATTGAATGGCTTCTTAGCCACTTTTACCTTTGAAACTTGCTGCGAGGATTGTATAATCGGCTGCTTTATACTTTGTGTGGTGCTTTCGGTGTTTACAAAGAGTATTTAGGGCGAAATCTACTGGTACATCCGGATCTCAGCAACAATTGTAACTTATTTATTATCTTGAAGAATTAAAATGTCACGGCACACATCAAGTATGGAGTATTCTGGACTCCAAATCACTGTTGTTAAATTTGAAAAGGCACAATCTATTTGGAATGGTCTTTTGAGCTGTAAGGTTATTCTTTGGGCTAAAAAGAAGCTGGGTTATATTGATGGTCTATTGCGAAACAAAATGCTAAGCAATGTGGGGGGCAGGGAAGAAAGAAAAAATAGTTAACCCTTAAAAAAAAGAAAAAAAGAAAAAAAGAAACACTTATAAAGTTTCATCATAAGTGTAAGGCAAACTTGAAAAATAAAACAAGAAAATACTTAAGAAGTATAACATAATAAAATACTAAAAAAAAAATGAAACCCTAAACATAAATAATTAAATTTACTAACCTTGCGAAAACCAATCGAAGTGGGTTTTAATCGGCCACTTTTAGTTGCAAAAAACTCTCTTTTTTAACCTCTTTAATCCCCAAAAAATTTTGGGTCGAATGCCTCTCGATTTTGCAAGAAACCAGATACTTTGAATATGAATTTGATCCTTAAAACAAATTGATTTTGAGCTAAAAGATTTGATTTTGAGACAAAGGAATTGTTGTTTAGGGTTTTGGGGGGCCAAAATGCCTCCAAATACTATTTTGCCCCTTTCCAAAGGGGGAAACTACATTTTTGACACTTTTGGGAGGGCAATTTTTGCCCTCGCCAAAAGGGCCTGGGCAGGCCTCAGGTGCTGAGCACTGCGTGCCTGCCCAAGCAGTTCCTTGGGCCACTAGTTGGCTGCCCATGGTCACCATCCTGCATTGGGTGTTGGAGTTATGGCCTTTTAAGGCCTTGAAACCCCAACATATTATAGCTCTTGATCACAATGGGAGTGTACGAGAGCGTTGCGACTCTGGGATCTTGGTGCACTAGGACCAAGAGTCATATAACCTAGAGTCATCAAGCCAATGTGTATATATGAGAGGCGTCGAGAGGGTTGAGTGTTACTTTTAGTCAGAGTCGGTTTTGATTTATTCCTTATGATTGTGTGATGGCTAGAGCATTGTATTTGTGATTGTATGTGATTAATTTATAATGATATGAGCTCAAGTATTTTGTATGATTTAACCATGTATGAAAAGGTTAAATCTTTGAGAGGACAGAGACTTGAATCCCTGACATTGTGAATCATTAAACTTTCTCATAGCATGTGCATGTACAGTTGCAAATAGGAGAGATATGTATATGTCCCAAGAAAGGAACCCTCATCTATTTGAGTGCATGTCCTTGGGGTGCGCCTGTAACCTACTATAACCTGAGGATCCAGAGTCACATTTTGGTTAAACTTTGATTAGCCAAGCATGAGGCCCTAATTACTGTAGGTCATGGGTTGTTAGGTCATTTTGAGAAGGTGACATTGGATTCCATATTTAGCCGATTGGAGTGCTCTAATACCAAATTTAATTCTATAGGATCCTAATTTCTCTTATAACATTTTCAAATTGTGCCAACATTTATTATTTTGATGGTGAATTTTTGGAGATTTTTCTGAGCCAAAAAATGAGAGATTCTGTATTTGTTTTTGAAAAATGACAAAGGATAGTTCTCCTATAGCTCACATGTGTTAACCAAATGGCCAGTGGGTGGCACGTGTGGCTGATGTGGCATCCACATCATTGCCAGGTTGGCATGACAGATGGGTGAAGTCACTCCCCTATGGGGATCTATTTGCCATTTGTGAAGTTGTTTTGGAGGTGGAATTTTGAATTATGGAGTATTTTTCTAAATTGGAAATTGGATTTTAGCACATATTTAATGTGTGGGATTGGTGGTTGTGTGAACATGGGGAAAACCTTCTAGAAAAGGGTATAGGGTTTGATATTATGGTTGAAACCCTATGGCCATGTGTAATTGTGTATATAACCACATATTTTATGTGGCACCATGTGATTGGTTGAAAATACTCACAAAAAATGGAGGGATATTCAATTTCAAAAATTGTTTCTAGAGCATGTGCCAAATTACCATAATGGCAAGACCTTAACTGTAGTTTCTTATTTGATTGTGTGAATTGAGCATGGGCTTTTTGGAAAGCAAAATTGATTTTGGTAATTAATTTCAAGGGAAGATCAGAGTGAATTATGGTTAATGGAGGATAAGGGTGTTGATATCATCCACTCCAAGATCACATGATGGTGGATGTGTGGCTAGGATCAAATCTCTCTTATGCCATAGATGATTAACTTTAATGGCCAAGATTAACTCATCTAAAAGCATCTAATACAACTCAAGTTCTATCTCACTCTTCATAGGTGGCATGCCCCACTTTTAGGTTCTCTCTCTCGCCATCATTTTGAAAATACTTAGTGAGAGAAAGTCTCCCATGTGTTATATGCCCAAATTCTCTCTCTCTCTCTCTCTCGCCATATCCTAAAGTTTTGAGGGAGAAACTCTCTCATAGAGTGGCAAGTCATCCTCAAGCCTCTCTCTCTGTCTCTCTTTATAAGACCAAAATCCTAGTGTGAGAAAGGAAAAATATGAGAATCTAGTGCAAGAAAAACTTCATTGAAGCTCCATCAGGCTTGTAGATGGAGCCTTACTTCATGGAGATCTAATTTTTGAAGAAGTCATTATCAAGCCATTTTTTTGGAGCTTAGGGGGCAGTACTAGCCCTCGATGGCATCCATCACTACTAAGGCCACCATAAAAGTGGCCTGGCCTTGTTGCAACCCTGTCTTCAGCTGCAGTGGAAAGAGGGTCCTCCCCTTTCGTATTCAAGCCATATGGATCATGCCAGGACTTTTCTCATCCAAGATTGCCACCACCCCTAGGTGTGGCACCGCGGATGCTTTAGGAATGATCAAGAATTCAAACCCAAGGATTACCTTGAAGTCATCCATGGGAACGACCACTAGGTTGATCGTCGCCGTCCAATCACCAACTTTGGCCTCTTACCTCTCATGCTGCCCCCACAACTGACTGGGTCACTGAGTTCACCACCTTCACTTTGCTGGTGTCATCAGTCGGCTTGAGGTCTAGCCGTGCTTCACCTTGATCCCATACAAAGTTATGCGTGGCACTTGTGTACACCATCACTCGAGCCTCTTGCCCAATTAGGGTGATTGTTATATACCTGAGGCCATTACTAGATGATACCTCCTTCACCATCTTTGCATTGCGTACAGTTGGAGGGCATTAGAGTGCATTTGGAGGGGATTGGCGCTCGTGACCTCTACCTCCTCCTCAGCGACCGATTGGACTGTGTCTAGGGATTGCTTATGTGGGCAATATTCGGCTCGATGGGGCCTCTTACAGATGGAGCTGCCAGAGAAGTCTTTGGATACTATTTTTCCAGAAGATTCTTCGCTAGGCAGTCCACTTGCATGTGGCTTGGGGTTTGTACAAGCCTTTTTCCCTTTAGCCTTGTTTTTGCCTAGCCGGGCACCATTCGTCGCAGCATTTAGCTTAAAATCGACTAAACTCTTCAACAAAGCTATTGCTAGAGGGAGTTCTTTCACCCCTTGCTTTCTTAGCTCAACTTGAGCCCATGGCTGCAAGCCAACCATAAAGTTGAACAACTTGTCCTCCTTCGACGTGTTCTTAATGTCGAGCATGAGGCTCGAGAATTGCTTCACGTACTCACACACAGTGACAATGTGCTTGAATTTTCTCAACTCCTCACGAGCCGTCCAAGCAGCATTTACAAGAATGAACTGCTTCTTTAACCCCCTCTTGAGGTCTGCTCAACTAGCAACATGAGGCTTCAATCTGTCTACATTGTGTGTCCTCCACCAGAGCTTGGCATCTCCGGCGAGGTACATGGTGGTTAGGGTCACTTTCTCTTCCTCTCAGGCATGAGCAGCTTCAAAGTAATGCTTCATGTCCCAAAGGAAGTTCTCCAGCTCCTTGGCACTACGAGCTCCGCCGAATGGTGTGGGCTTTGGCACTTGAACCCTGGCTGGTTTGACTGCGCTCACAAGATTGGCCAGCGACCTCTTCATCAAGGCAACATCAGCAGTCATGCCCTCAACAATTTCTTTAAACATGTCAGTGAGGGCAGCCTCTAGTTCCCCTATACAGGTTTCCCAAGGACTGGTGTGCTCCTCATGAATCGTTACCAATCCTTCAAGCTCTACGTTTTCAATGGAAGTGACTCAAGCCACCAGAAGGTCATTATGGTCGAGTCGCTTTTCCAACTCCTCCACTCGGTCACTCATTGTCCGGGCCATCTCTTGAAGTCAAGTAAGCCTCTGCTCTTATACCAGTTGTCATGGGTGCTATAATTTTTTTTCTTTAACCATCCATGCGGCCTTAGCTCGTAAGCCTGCATATTTTGACCACAGCTTCAGCCTCACCCAACATCCCCACCACAGCATAGCGCATACACACTATAGCATGCAAGCATACGCAGACACATGGACAAGGGACTAAGGGCCAAGGCCCGATTTATAAGCTCCTTATATTTACAGGTATAATGCCACAAATACCCATAAAGGGTCTGGGCCTAGGGTTTATATAGAGCCCCAGTTACACATTTGAATTTTAAATTACATGGGACACTTGGCAGCCAGCCTCTGCTGTGCACTGCCAATATGATCGTTGGGCCTACTTGAGCCTCCTAATGCCTCATAATGGGCGCTGCAGGACCCTGACAGGTGCTTGAAAGCCTTGACATTCAAGGTACGCCATCCTCGCGCTAATCGACCAGCCTCGCATGCCTCTGCTACGCCATCACTACCCCATGCTACCAAGCCCAAGTGCACCATGGAGCCCATGGTCTAATGCACTGCCTTGCTATGCACTAATCTATCTGTGGGGCCTGAGCCCCCTTTCTCTATCATGCACCACCAACTTAGTGTCACGCACTACAGTTTCTATATGTGCACCTTGGTCTCTCAGTCACCTGCCACCATTGTGCCTTGTCCGGTGCGATCTGCTAGTCATCCTAAGGCTATCTCCACACTCTCAACAAGGGGTGTATGTGTAAAGAACCGGGTTGGCAAGAGTGACACCTATTCCTACTAAACTAGCATTGGTGCACCACAAGCACCATGGTGCAGCCTCATCCTTAGGCTGGTTAGCTCAAGGGAGGTTTGCTAGCCTTCCCCCTTGACTAGCACACATGCATCAAGTTGAGGGCCTAACAACGTGCATGGCACACAAGGCTTGCAGGCACCTGTCAGGGGCTTGCAACACTCATCATGAGGCACCAAGAGGCCTGAGCAAGCCCAATGATTATATTCGCAGTGCACAGCAAAGACTGGCTACCAAGTGTCCTTTTGTAATTTGAAATTCAAATGTGTAAACGAGGCTCTATATAAACTCTCAGCCCATTCCTTTGGTGGGAATTTGTGGCAGTATACCCTATAAGTGTAAAGAGCTTAATAAACTGGGCTATAGCCCTTAGACTCTATTCATGTGTGTGTGTATGCTTGTGTGCTAGTGTGTATGTGCTTGTGTTGTGATGGGTGTGCTGGGTGAGGCTGAACCTGTGCTCCAAGAAAGTCAGGCTTGTGAGTCAGGGCGCACGATCAGCTAGTGGGAAAAAAAAAATGTAGCACCCGTGACAGTGGTATCAGAGCTAAGGCTCAGTTGACTTCATGAGATGGCCCCCTACAATGAGTTAATTAAGTGTGCAATGTATGCAATGCTGAGATTGCAACTCCAAGATGTTAGAAATAATGTAATACAAATAATATAAGGGATTGTAGAGATTGCTGCTCCAAGATTTTAGAAATAATGTAATACAAATAATATAAGGGATTGTAGAGATTGCTGCTCCAAGATTTTAGAAATAATATAATACAAATAATATAAGGGATTGTTTACAAAAAGGCCATTTATTTTTTGTACATGGAGGTCACAATCATTCTTGTCTCTTAAATGTCAAAATGGATGGTTGTAAGAGTGTCATTGAATAGACACAAAGTTCCAACCAAAAAGTTCTCGGATTTTGTGACTCACTTAAGTCATCCAATTTGACATCTAATGAATGTGAATGATTGTGACTCCATGTACAAAAGATAAATGGTCTCTTTGTAGACAATCCCATAATATAAACGTGCATGTATGGCATGTCAGTGAATGAATGGCATTGAGACATTTATTGTCTCCGTCTCCATTCCCTCTCCATTCCAAAGATGTCGGAATCTCGATTTTTAATAGGAATCTCGTCCTCCATGGTTTCTCTTGTATGGACATCGATTACGAAAATAGGAATCTTCTAGCCAGCAACGATTCCGTGCTTCCGATTCTTGTCATTTCGGGTAACTATGGGCCAGAAAACTTTTATTGACCCAGCCAACCTTAGGCGAAGGCTGCACCGTGGTGCATGTGATGCACATATGCTAGTCTGGTGGGAAGAGGTGTCATTCTTGCCTGCTCAGATCTTTACACCTACACTTCTTATTGAGAGGCTGGGGATATCCTTGGGTCTACCAGCGAAATGCGGCAGATGGGGTATGCTTTTGGTTAGACCTTTGGGTGGAAGACCAATCTCCGGCAGTTCAGTAGCTGAAACCCTTCACTAATTTGTGAATTTTTCTTCGAAAAGAAAATAGTGTGCAATTAACTGTCATGCACCTTTTATTTGTTTAATTTTTGTAGGCAAGTCTTATAACTGATAAGGTCAATACAAACTTATAACTTATAAGGTCAATACAAACTTGGGATATCCTTTCCCTCTGAGCTGATTGTAGTATATAGAAACTTCATGTTTGAAGTTTCATTGCATAAGAAACATTTGTGAACCTTTGCTTTGTATTAAAATCTAGTTTCTGATGCTAATATTTCCATTTGTGCTTGTCATTTACATGATGTTATTTATCAGATGGTGGTTAAGTACAGTTAGCATGAAAAGAGGAACTTCCCTGCTTAAAAAGTTATTGATTGCCATTTTTCTGCTTGGACTAGCTTGGAGCTGGAACTGCGTTGCCCGGGTTGGTAGCAGCAAAAGTCGGTGCGGATGTTATCTTGACAGATAGTTCAAATAGACCAGAGGTAAGTTAATCAGCAAGTCCAATTAACTCATCAGTATCCACGCATTAGAGAAAAAATTACAAGACCTTTGAGTGATCATCTTGAGGAAATGTTTCTTTTGATTTATAAGCTTAAGATGAGAACCACAAAAAAGGTTGACTTCAAACTGGTGGCTATTATTGAGAACGAATCATCTCCACTGGAATTTCTTGAGCATGCAATTTGGAGGAGTCTACACAGTCCTTTACTGGTTGGTGGAATGTTAATCTCCACTTCGAATTCTGACCTCATTGGTTACTCATTATAGTTTGGGAAGTGGAGTGTAAAGCTTTGTTTTGAACTATGCAGTTTTGATGCTTATTCTTGGTTGTGCAGTTTTGACTCGGTTATGCAGTTTTGACCTCGAGTATACAGTTTGAGTTCAGTTATGTTGTTTGACCTCTGTTTTACAGTTTTGATGTTGGTTTTAAGTATTCTCAAACTGTTGAGGAGTACCTCCGGCAGAAAAGTGATCCTTTCTAGGACTTCGCTTTTGAGGACTCAAAAGTCAACAATATCCACTCCACAATACCCACTCTAGTATTGTGTTTACGTATTATGAGAACAGTCATCCTACCACACCACACTCCTTTTGGAACTCATTTCCAAATACGATCTAGGGAACTTATTCTCTTCTTGGTAATGCTCTTGAGAACTTATTTTTCTCCACTGGGGAACATCATCATTATTATCCAAAGGGATCTTCTTATTTACTAAAATATCTGAATTTAAATTAGAAAGCAAAACAAGATAAGAATAGATGGATGATGATCTCTTTCCTCCTCGTTTTTAAAAGAAGCCACTAGTCCTCCATTCCATACAAAGATGAATTGGTAGTGTGCCTGGCTGCATTTCCTTAGTGAATGTGAGGATGTGGAGTGATAAGACCCTATAAAGTTGGCAACCTTCCTTTCCATGAGCACAGGAAATTAACGACTAGCTTGCCCCATTGTCATTAAATGAGGAGCAGATTCCTCAATCCCTTTCATACGCGTATTTACTATTGGTATGCATGTGGAATAACGCACATGGAGGTGTAAGGGGTGCCCATCAACGAATTTCATTGATAACAGGATTATTTGCAAATATTTATGCCTTTTGAGTATTGTGTTAAAATATTAAATATTACAACCTGATGACATCTGTACGTATATTATTTCAACAAAAGTTTTCAAAAAAATGCTTTATTCTTCACGGAATGTTTCTATGCTATCAATGGAGATGTCATTTAGATTTTGCAGTATTATTGGGCCTGTAATATGTTAAGGAATCAAATTTGTATGTCCATCTGTAATGCATACTATTACTTGGTGGATTCTTAGGACCTTGGTCATTAGTGAAGACTTGCTTTCATAATGAAGAGCATATTACTGCACTATATATATATATATTCCATTTCCTTCTTTCCTCTGATCCTATACATTTTTCTATACCTATAATCTAGTGTTAGATTCTAATACTAAAAGGGAAAATTCTATATAGAGCTGAGGCTCTAAACAATCAAACTAGAGCCTACCTCAAAAATTTCACTAGAAGAAGTTGTTTTGCTGCCCAAATATCTTCAAATTGATTATCTCGACATCAAGATGCATGGACCTGAGAAAAAAATTGATCTCAAGTTTTGGAAATAGTATATTTTGTAATGCAATTTTGGACCGTCAATTTTCAAGATTTTCAAGTTTTCATAGATCAGTCGATCTACACGATTTAAACTTTGTAATAAAGATAAAATATATTTTAAGGCTATCATAATAATTTTCAGTATTGGAACCACATTCCTCAACACTATTTTAAGGTATGCTCTAATTTGATTGTTTAGAGCCTAGGCTCTATACAAACCACACCCATACTAAAATACAAAAAAAAAGAAGAAAAGCCAATAGATACATGACTACGCTTCCCTTTACAAAGTTATAAAGATTATGTGAATATCAAATGTGCAAGTGGCAACCCCTATAACTTCTTCTATGATTTAGTTCTAAATAAGCTTTAACCTAATCTCATTACGGTTTATTGTTTCTTCCATGAGCAATCATAAGAGTTAAAAATGTGATAGAAAGTGACCGTGGAACTCCACTCATCCAAAGATCCAGATCATTCATTCTTCATAAAAAGTTAAAAATATGCTATACGATCAAACTGGGATGATGATGAAATGGTATTTTTTTCTTTGTAGACTTGTTTTATCATCACATCATGTGTGCACTTTTATCCTTTCCTATTGTATTGTGTATTTCATTTTTCTTCAGAAGGCCTTCTGTTCTTTTGTATGGAATTGAACCACTATTTTTACGGGACATATGGATCATAGTTAAAGTCTTTGCATTCTTGAACATGTATGGATTATAGAGCCATCATAGGACCTGAGGCTCCTCCATAAATGTCAGCACTGATCAATTATTTCATGTGGTTGTGTGCTGCTGGCTAGACAACTCATACCTGACAGGGAAAATCGTCAATTAATGTTCTTGAACAAAAGGAGCAGAGATCTATCTAGAAGAGAGAGTTCACCAAACATCAAGCAAATAATATGAACAACCATGTTAAACTGAAAAAATCACTTGGAATTTTTTTATATTCAGCTTCAAGTATCAACCGAAAATTTAAGGGGTGTATTACTGTTACAGGAAAATGTAATAGGCCAACACAAATAAGATTTTCTTGTTTTCATAACTTAATGTAGTTTCATTGGGGACATAAGCTCCTTTGCTTGAGCAATTGGGAGGTTCTGAAGCGAACAATTGTATTGATGCAGTTTACCAGGAATATCTATTATGATGCGAGTCATTTTGTGACTTACGCATGGAACTACCATTGCCATTTCATTAGAGCTCCTCAACGTTTTGTTTGCTTGCAGATTCTGGACAACATGAGGCAGACATGTGATCTCAACAAAGTCAATTGCAAAGTAAGTCCATAGTTTCTTGTTCTCCAAACATTTGCATGCTTATGTGCTCTGATGAAGTCATGGGAAGTTCTATGGAATCCAGATCATGGGTCTCACATGGGGTGAGTGGGACGCAGGATTTTGTAGTTTGAATCCCCAAATTGTGCTTGGAGCTGATGTCCTATATGATTCCAGTGGTAGGTCTATGCAATGGTTTTGGCAATGAACATTCCTTCCCAGATTTACATGGTGGATGCGTTATCTTTTTGTTTTTATGTTAAATAGATTTTGAAGATCTCTTTGCATCAGTTACTTTCCTGCTCCGGAGCACTCCTGGATCAATATTCATAACCGCATACCATAATCGAAGGTTTTTATCTGTTTTCATTCATAATTGCTCCTCTGTTATTCCTCCATTGTTTTACTCCGCATATTATGGTCTCTGACCCCTCCCATGTTGATTCACAGTGGGCATCATCTTGTGGAGTACTTGATGGTTAAATGGGGATTGAAATGCGTAAAACTCTTAGATGCTTTCTCTTTCATGCCAGCATCAAAAGCATCTACCCTTCAGGGCAACTTTGAGTTAATAGAGGTTAAGCTGGATAGTGATCTCGTAAAAGGTAAACCATCAGATTTTCATAGAATTGCTTGGTCCTCTTGTGCTTCACTTTGTTGTTAATACTATCGAATGGTGTTACTGTGTTGCTTCACCTTGCTGTTTACAATAAATAGGTCCTCTTTTGCTTCACTGTGTTGTTTATATTCCAGAATGGTATTATTCTTGCTATTCTTTGGGCTTTATTGGAAATACAAGTCCCATAAAAGTATTCATTTCTTATGTGGCATGTGAGCTTATCTACTTATATATCGTAAAATCCTTTGCTTAGTTTTCCCTCTTTGAGGGCCCCATTAAACACCAAAGGAAATTCTATCTGATATTAGATCTTCATTGAATATTGCACAATGAGATGGTCAAAGAACTGGAGTTCAATCCTGTAAGTGCTGAGCCCATCAAACGATGGAAGTGATGGCTCTGCTTCAGGCACTATGCAAGAAATAGATTCGGCAATCAAAAAATTTGAAGGTGGCACCCAATCCCCTGCCATTCCTGTGATAACGAAGGAAAATCTGATGGCTGCTATTCAACATTCATTGGATGTTGAACACATTGACCCTCTTTAACTTTTCAGCCCCTACGAATGTTCCCCATCCTAAATAATAGCCAGGATACATGTATATGTGGCTCATAAAATGTACCCAGACTCTTGACAGTCACAAACCAAAACCACTAAAAGAAACACAAAAACCATACCATGCCTCCCAATATTGAACCAGAAAAAAACCTGCTGCCATAAGACATTGCTATAACAAAGACTTTAGCCATGCTTGTAACAGGAAAAGCTTCAGCCAAACCAATCCTTTGGTTGATTACAAACCCTTCCCTACCTGAACCAGATTTAGGTAGCTTTGACGTACCAAAAAAAATACAGCCAAAACAAGTCACATCAGCGCCATCCAATCAGTCCTTTCTAGCAAGAACCCAACACCAACAATTCTAAATTCCTAATCTAAACCAAACTAATAACCTTAGAAATGTTGTGAATATTAAGTTTTATACTCTTTTCTATTGTATTTAACTCCCAAAAGGACTTACATGGCATTACTGTCAATGAAAGGACATTACTGTATACAAGTAAAATTTATATATATATATATATATATGAGTAATGATCCTATGAGCCCCTCACACATACGGGCTATATAGGACCCCCATCTATCACCATTTGATCTCCTTCCAGATCTCGATGAGGGTGCCAAATCACCCGGTAAAACCAAATCACCCGGTAAACAAATAAGAATTAACCGGTTGAAATGCTAAAACTCAAACAAAAAAAAATCAGTACAATCTCCACTGTGCAATCCGATACAAGCAGACTTTCTACCCCATAAATCTCTCTCTCTCTCTCTCTCTCACTCTCTCTCTCCCCGTGCCACCAAATGCATCTCTCGGTCCTTGCCTCCAAATGCCATCTCTCTCTCACTAACAAAATACACCTCTCAAGCTTATGATCTCTCTTTTTCTCTCTTCAAGATAGGTATCTGTAACCAGCTTGATCATCTTGCTTGCCTCTTCCTCCTCTGAATTCCTCACTAAACCCTGACTAGAAGGCCCAAAGCCTCCAAATCAAGAGCCTCTTACTCGATGACACAGTCTTTGAACACTTCAGGAGCAAACCCTTCCTCTTTTTTATAGAGAAAATAGAAAAAAACCTTGAATGAGAAATCATTGGGGGCCATCTGTTCAAAAACCCTCTTTGCACCTTCAATTTCTCCAGTTTTACAGTAACAAGTCAGAAGTCATTACATTGGGCTTAACACCTGCAGCTTCCATTTCTCATTTCTGCAAGTACTTTTAGGGCTTCTTCTGGCCTTCCGTGGTGGGCTATATATGAAACCCTAGAATTGCAAGCAGCAGTATCAGGAGGGCACCCCACCTTCACCATTTCATTCCAAATTTTCTTAGTTCTTATAGAAAGCTGAAAGCTTTTCAATTGAAAAAAAAGAAAAAAAAGATCCGTAATATAGCTTTCAGGACAGTGCCATGCGCCCAGATTGAAGTGAGCACCGCTGGTAAAAAGCAAATGTTTGTGAACTATACCAACCCTTCTCTCTCTCTCTCTCTACTTTTTTAGTTTTGTATATTGGGTTTTTGTTCATTTGCAGGTGAATGGAGGAGAATGTCGCTTCCAGCCATGTTGGTTGGAGAAACAGTAGGGAAATTTTTACTGGTGAGCAAATTTGCAAAACAATCGGTTCTCTTTGACTCGAATGAGCCTAAAACTCTCATGACCACAAAAACAGAGCCTAATAATAAAACCAGTATCTAATTGCACATGAGAAAAGAAAAACAAAAGGTAAGAAGACCAGAAAGAGAAAAATTGATTGATATTTTTAGAACATCGAGTGAGATAGAGAGAGACAAATGAGCATAAGAATATATGGATTACAAATGTCGATGGGTACCACATCCAAGAAAGCAAGGCAGCCTATTTTAACTCCATTAAAGCTCTCTTCATGAGGTTATGCGGTTAAAAACTCATGTCCAATATTCCGGCGAAATAGTCGTCGGTGTATCCATCCAAAGATGGCACGGAGATAGCATAGGGTCGCTCAAATGGCAAAGCTTCAATTTTGCCGAGTTGAACAAACACAATAACTCGCCGTCAGGGGAGAAAGTTTGCCTTTACCAGATTTTAGTGTGGGGATGGCACAATTTTTTTTTTTTTGGTTTGAGTTTCACCAATTTAACCGGTTGATTTTATTTGTTTTCCGGGTGACTTGGCACCCTACATGTCATTGGGAAAAGAGATCTAACGGTGATAGATAGGGGTCCTATGCAGCACGTATGTGTGAGGGGCTCATAGGATCATTACGATATATATATATATATATATATATAGAAGGTTATGTTAAGGTGCTCACACTATGGAGTAATTTATCATTCTATTCAACAAATTTGGACACTTATATACCTTGTTTCGTACATGGAGTTTGCTTTTAGTAAGGGTATTTTGGTCATTAAGAGGGTTATGATGTCATCCACACGGGGTGTGACATCACCCACATGGAGCATATTAGTGGCAAGCACAAGAAATAGTATTCTCTCTTGAGCCAATATCAATACCTAATAACTCAGGACGAGAAAAAACCAGGTTCATAGAAACCACTTTTATAGCTGAAATAATAATACATGATATTCATACAGATAAAGGTCCATATGAAATATCAAATATCTATTTAGATAATCATTTACACCCTTCCAATAATAATAAGACCCGAGAATGGTATAAAGCCATCCTCCTGAAAGCCGGATCAATAACAATGGTCCATTTTTATAAGAAAAATACTAATATAATTGCATACTCCAAGTTCCAGTTTCGCAAAATAATATCATATAAGGACTGGGGTATGGATCCAGTAAAACCGAGAAGGTTGCAGACAGAAGGATTTAATAACAAATACTTTCGATATACTGAATATGTAGAGGCATGGCATAGAGTCTTTGCCTTCCAAAATAACAATAACTCCCATACATGGTTCCTTCAAATAAAAATACCAGTGGTAGGAGAATTCCCAAATTGGTTCAAAACTGGTTCCAAGTATGGGGATCAGGAACCGAAATACTGCCTCTAAAAATACAAGCCTCCCAGAGGAAATTTGCTGAATATAATAATAATAATACAAGAATAGATCTTCACATGTATTTTATGGCATTATACCAAATACCATGGATCATGAAATGGTCCTACCAAATATCAGATAATTATACAAATAATTGGGAATACATTCTCAAATTGGGACGACAGGTATACATAAAACGATGGGATGTATACGAAAATAAAGCCCTTGATCCAGACAACATAAAAATGAAGAAGATACCAATCTCACCACTTGAGACCAGAATCAATAATATGACCGACTATATAAATAGAATGCGTCAGCAAAATCCCATGGCTACCAAAGAAGAATTGAAGAAAAAGTTACTACAACTTTTTGATGAAGAAGAAGAAGTTATGTCCACGTCCACACAAAACGAATAAGATTATGCCCAAGAAAATGAGGATTGCGAATTCAGATTATCCCAAACCTAAGCTAGGCTAATACCGGGAAGTATGCTGCCGAAAACCTTTTTGTCACCTCAAAGATACTGTGCTGCCAACAAACTTTTTGTCACTTCAAGATGTCACTGTTCATCTTTTACTGTGTTGCCGACAACTTTTTGACACTTCAAGATGTCACTGTTCACCTTTTACTGTGCTGCCGACAACTTTTTGTCACTTCAAGATGTCACTGTTTACCTTTTACTGTGCCACCGACAACTTTGGGTCATCTCATGCCTTTTGAGCTGGCGTCCTTTATGAAAGAAATTTGATAAATTTTGGAGTCGGATGCTTATAAAAGGGACGAAAGAGGTGAAGCTAAGGGATCAGAGTGCTCTCCCCCAGTGATCTTCTCTGCTCTCTTGCTCTGCCATTCTCTTTAGACCTTAGCTCTCAACTCACTCTGTTCTCAGTAAGCTCTCACTCTGCTCTCAGCTCACCCTGTTCTCAGTAAGCTCTCACTCTGCTCTCAGCTCACTCTGTTCTCAGTAAGATCTCACTCTGCTCTCAACTCACTCTGTTCTCAGTAAGTTAACAACTCACTCTGTTCTCAGTAAGCTCTCACTCTGCTCTTAGCTCACTCTATTCTCAGTAAGCTCTCATTTCACTCTGTTCTCAGTAAGCTCTCACTCTATTCTCGATAAGCTCTCTCTCTGCTCTCAGTTAAGTTCACAGTTCGCTATCCTTCTCTACTGACACTCAGTCTTAAGCTTTCCCCCTTTGCATTCACAACTCAGCTCTATATCTCATTCTCTGCTCAGTCATCTTTCTGAGCAACTACTCTATACTCTTCAAATCTCTGTACTCTTCATCTCTCTGTTACTTTGCGCTCCCAGGCTACCTCTTTGTGCTATAAGCCTTCTCTTTGTCATCCCCTTTTGTGTTCACTTCAGCCGTCTCTCTGTGAACTCACAGTCGCTGCTCTTAGTCTCAGCCTTCTGTTATTCTGCCTCGTTGACTTTCTATCTCTACTATGATACTGTTATCTTTTCTCTCTTTCTTTCTACTGTATATCGGGTGGTGTATCTAGCCACACCAGATTTGAGTGATTGTAAAATATATGTGTGATTGTAATCTAAACTCTTTGCCGAGCTACTACCCAGAAGAATGGAAACTATTTTCAAGCTTTTGCAAGTGCCATATGTGAGTGTATTCATACTCTGTTATGTAATTCAAGTTTATATTTTGTTTAAAGTTTGGGTATACTCCTTATATTAACTGGTTTGTAATAGATATTTCCCCATTCCTATTTATTGCTTTTCTGCTAATATTTCTTTTTATAAGACTTGTGTACTTTTAGAATAAATAGCTGCATAAAATAGTTGCAAAAAGTACAAAATAGATCTTGGTCAATGTTTGGTATCAGAGCCATAGTTTTACAGTGGTGAACTGTAGTACTAGGTATATGTTCTAAAAGTCAAGGACTTGATAAAATTTATCATAAAGATAGTCAGGAAGTGAAACCCAAAAAAGTCGTCGTGACCCGCACTGCCAAAAAAGGCCGGGAAGAGCCGTGAAAAAGGTACAGGAACTGTTTTCGACTGACTCAGTATCCACCCACTATTCTGAATGGAAAATTTTATCAGGACTCTGTCCAATAGAACAGCCTCCTCGTCCAATAGTACACTACGAGTAAAAAATAAAGAAGAAGTTACTATAGATGATATAGAACGACAAATACAGAATTGGAATATTCCAAAAGTCCCTATAACCGATATATATAAAAAAGGAACTTTCTAGTTTAAGTCTAGTTTTGCTATTAAGACAGTAGAACAAAGCATATCCATTACAAACAAACAAGAAAGTTTCCAACCACTCTCAAATAAAATGATTCAAAATCACAAATCTAAATAATATAAATATTTACATATAGGTCTTATACAAATAACAATAAAACCTTTAACCCGTTTAGGATTAAATAATTCTATTTTATTATGTTTACGAGATGATAGGCGTAATAAATTTTCAGCCTCCCTTTTAGGAATAATAGAATCCAGTCTTTGTAATGGACCCATATACTTCAACTGTTTCCCAAATTTCTCAGTTTCTTTAGCAGACCCTAATTTATTAAAGGTTCTTACCTTAAATATAAAAACCCAAGGGTTTGATATGAACCTTGGATCACAAAATATTGCACTAGTATATAGAATATGTTATAAAGTTATGAATACTTTATGTCCAAATGCCCTTCACATGGATACTAAAGGAGACCAAGATCTATTTTGTAGGTATTTTATCTTCATGGAAATCTGCTTCATATGGTAAATTTACAATATGTCTTTTCCTATTCCAAAAGGCATTTGGTAATTCTGCACAGATTTCGCTTTTTATTTTGTTTCTAATATCTTCAATAAGGTTTTTATTTTCAAGAATAGCAAGCTTTTCTTCAATTATTTTATATTTTAGTTCTTCTTTAAGATGATACAAAAATTTTTCTTTATTGGATATTGTTTCTAAGTACTAGGTATCATAAATACCTAGTACTAGGTATCTGTTCTAAAGATGCATGTGGGTGATGTCACACCTTGTGTGGATGACATCATACCCCACCTAATGACCAAAATTGCCCCTATTAAAAAAGTACTCCATGTACAAAACAAGGTTATTGAAGTGTCCAAATTTTGTTGAGTAGAATGATAAATTATTCCTTCGTGTGAGCACTATAACAT